GCAGAGAGAAATGCAAAGCTGGAAATGGCTTGGTCCTTGTGATTCCCAGAGGCTCAGGTGAATCCTGCCTCGTGTACCTGTTGCAAGGTGGATTTGGCAACCCCTGGGTGCTCCAGTGGGCTGGAAAAGATCTTAGAGGTGTTTTTCCAACCTCAATGATTCTGTGATTGGCCTCAAGCAGAGAGAAATGCAAAGCTGGAAATGGTTTGGTCCTTATGATTCCCAGAGGCTCAGGTGAATCCTGCCTCGTGTACCTGTTGCAGGGTGGATTTTGGGTGCTCCAGTGGGCTCCACCAGGTCCAACGTCCCCAAGAGCCATCACTCCCAGCACAGAGCACTGAGCAGGAGGAGCAATGGAGTGTGAAACTGGCACACCTAGCAGGTCCCAGTGCTGGCTTAGAAGAGCTGGCTGCCCCAGTTCAGCAGCCCTGCCATCCCTTTACACAAGCTCAGCTCACACGGAGATTGGGCTGGTGCTGCCAGATTTCCCAGAGCAGGGCCATTGAGATGGGGCAGGGAGAAGAAACAGCTCTGCAAGGACCAGGTGTGGGTCCAAGGAACTGACACTGTGAGTTGCTGGCAGCCCCACCCTGAATGATCTAACTGATAGAAAGCTGAGTGACAGGGTGCACTGGGTGTCAGAGCACCCAGCCCTTTGCCTAGACAGTTTGGTTTATTGATTTACAGCAAATACACCAGGTAGAGACAAGAGAGCTGTCCTGGAGCATGTTCACTGCTTCCTGGCCCACCACTTCTCCTGTCCCAGCTCCCAGCACCTTGTCACTATGTGAACAACCATTTCCAACAAGCCCAGGAAAGCAGAAGTGGGTTGGCTGGGTTAAGAGAAATGCAACACAGGTTTGAGGCCAAGGTGCTGCCATCACAGATAAAACAGGCAGGACGTACAAGAACCTGCTCTTTGGGGATCCTTCCAAGATCCTGTGCTTGGGAATGGCTAAGATAAAGGTGGGGAATGGCAAAGCATGCAGGAAGTGCACAGCACACCCCAACGTCTCTGTTGAACCAAGGAGCAGAAATGCAGCAAGTAGTTCAGTCCAGGTTTAACCAAAAGAAAAGAGGGCCTGTGGTTTCATAATGCTTGTGCACAGCACAAACAAGAAGCCACCCTGTCCCCTGGCCTGCAGCATCCACACACTCTCCCCAGGGACTCTGGGAGCAGAGCAGCTCCCAGAGCAGATTATGGCTTTTGCAGCCCAGAGCTTGTTTGCAGTTAAGACTTTTTTTTTTTTCTTTTTCTTTTTCTCAGGGCTAAAATCAGAACAGGAGGGGATGGCAATGCAATCTGGCCTAGTTTTAAAATGCTTGCTGGAGTAAAGAGAGATTTTGGCACCTGGGGCTGAAAGCAGGAACGTTGGCTTTGCCAGCCAAGCCCCTCCCAGTTCTGCCAGTGCCAGCAAAAGCTGCAGTTGGAAACTAGAGCAGCTTGCTCAGCCCATCGTGCCTCAGTTTCCCCAGCTGCAAAAGAGAGGCAGCAGAGAGGCTGGCACTCACTAGCTGCAAAGGACACTGTGCCATAGTTCAAATCAAGTGTAGTGTGTTTTAGCTTTCTTCAAAGTCAGCCCCATGTTGTATTCCTCAGGCTTTTTTATTAATTGCAGTGCATAAAAAAAAACCAAAACAGGATATCCATCTGACATTCATTGTGGAGGGGAAGCCCCATGCTCTTTGTACTTTCCTTTTTCACTGGCAGGCACAGGGACTGCTCAGACTTGCTAACAACCCCAGGGACATGCTGAAGGCAGGAGAAAGCCCTGGTTTGAGGACAAGCAGGTACCCTGGTTTAGGGCAGGCAGGTGCAGGAGTGCTCTCCTGCTCACCCATCCTCTGCAACCTCAGCAAGGCTGACACACAACTCTGCTTTGCCCAAGGAGATGTCTTGTTAACAGCCCATCCACTTATGAGACCATTTTATAAATAATAATAGCTTTTCGGAGCCCTGCCTCATAACAAGCCCTAAATCAAGCTAAGAGGCCACTTGAATGGGCTGAAATCAGGCACTTTGGTGCTGCTGGAGTATGTACCCAGCTCTGCAACAACCCAGCACCAGTGCAGCCCCCTGAACAGAGTAGTCCTTGTTTCCTTCAGCCAGTTTGGGCTGGATGAAGCTCCCTGTCTTCTTTAACACAAGCCATTGCAAGGTAGAGAAAAGAGCAGTGGGGAGGGAAGAGGATCTCTTCAGTTAGAGCTGTAAAGGTTACATGCAGCCATGAAAATGTTGTTAAAAACCCCATCTAGTGTAAACACAATGAATTCAATCCCCACCCAAAAATCCCAAACCATGAAATGGGGAGACTGGCCACCTGTACACAAGGATTGCATGATAAGTTCTAAAACCTGCAATTTTTAGCTCAGCTGTACCTCTGGACTTTGAGGCTTCTTGTAAAAGCTGAGCTAGTTTTTGCTTTGCAGGGGGAAAAGTTGCAGTCTTGCTGTCCCTTGGATGAGGTAGGATGGCAGTGAAATGAAAAGTGAAGCCTCCAGGCTTTCCTGCAAACATCCTGAACTCTCAAAATCCACCAGAGAGGGGGGAACGTGTCACTGTTTGCCAACAACCTGCTCCTGATCAGGCTGCTGAAATCTCACTTCTCCTGTCCCAGCTCCCAGCACCTTGTCACTATGTGAACAACCATTTCCAACAAGCCCAGGAAAGCAGAAGTGGGTTGGCTGGGTTAAGAGAAATGCAACACAGGTTTGAGGCCAAGGTGCTGCCATCACAGATAAAACAGGCAGGACGTACAAGAACCTGCTCTTTGGGGATCCTTCCAAGATCCTGTGCTTGGGAATGGCTAAGATAAAGGTGGGGAATGGCAAAGCATGCAGGAAGTGCACAGCACACCCCAACGTCTCTGTTGAACCAAGGAGCAGAAATGCAGCAAGTAGTTCAGTCCAGGTTTAACCAAAAGAAAAGAGGGCCTGTGGTTTCATAATGCTTGTGCACAGCACAAACAAGAAGCCACCCTGTCCCCTGGCCTGCAGCATCCACACACTCTCCCCAGGGACTCTGGGAGCAGAGCAGCTCCCAGAGCAGATTATGGCTTTTGCAGCCCAGAGCTTGTTTGCAGTTAAGACTTTTTTTTTTTTCTTTTTCTTTTTCTCAGGGCTAAAATCTGATGAGGAGGGGATGGCAATGCAATCTGGCCTAGTTTTAAAATGCTTGCTGGAGTAAAGAGAGATTTTGGCACCTGGGGCTGAAAGCAGGAACGTTGGCTTTGCCAGCCAAGCCCCTCCCAGTTCTGCCAGTGCCAGCAAAAGCTGCAGTTGGAAACTAGAGCAGCTTGCTCAGCCCATCGTGCCTCAGTTTCCCCAGCTGCAAAAGAGAGGCAGCAGAGAGGCTGGCACTCACTAGCTGCAAAGGACACTGTGCCATAGTTCAAATCAAGTGTAGTGTGTTTTAGCTTTCTTCAAAGTCAGCCCCATGTTGTATTCCTCAGGCTTTTTTATTAATTGCAGTGCATAAAAAAAAACCAAAACAGGATATCCATCTGACATTCATTGTGGAGGGGAAGCCCCATGCTCTTTGTACTTTCCTTTTTCACTGGCAGGCACAGGGACTGCTCAGACTTGCTAACAACCCCAGGGACATGCTGAAGGCAGGAGAAAGCCCTGGTTTGAGGACAAGCAGGTACCCTGAGTTTAGGGCAGGCAGGTGCAGGAGTGCTCTCCTGCTCACCCATCCTCTGCAACCTCAGCAAGGCTGACACACAACTCTGCTTTGCCCAAGGAGATGTCTTGTTAACAGCCCATCCACTTATGAGACCATTTTATAAATAATAATAGCTTTTCGGAGCCCTGCCTCATAACAAGCCCTAAATCAAGCTAAGAGGCCACTTGAATGGGCTGAAATCAGGCACTTTGGTGCTGCTGGAGTATGTACCCAGCTCTGCAACAACCCAGCACCAGTGCAGCCCCCTGAACAGAGTAGTCCTTGTTTCCTTCAGCCAGTTTGGGCTGGATGAAGCTCCCTGTCTTCTTTAACACAAGCCATTGCAAGGTAGAGAAAAGAGCAGTGGGGAGGGAAGAGGATCTCTTCAGTTAGAGCTGTAAAGGTTACATGCAGCCATGAAAATGTTGTTAAAAACCCCATCTAGTGTAAACACAATGAATTCAATCCCCACCCAAAAATCCCAAACCATGAAATGGGGAGACTGGCCACCTGTACACAAGGATTGCATGATAAGTTCTAAAACCTGCAATTTTTAGCTCAGCTGTACCTCTGGACTTTGAGGCTTCTTGTAAAAGCTGAGCTAGTTTTTGCTTTGCAGGGGGAAAAGTTGCAGTCTTGCTGTCCCTTGGATGAGGTAGGATGGCAGTGAAATGAAAAGTGAAGCCTCCAGGCTTTCCTGCAAACATCCTGAACTCTCAAAATCCACCAGAGAGGGGGGAACGTGTCACTGTTTGCCAACAACCTGCTCCTGATCAGGCTGCTGAAATCTCCTTTGCGTCCAAGTGCGTTAGTGAAGGAAACCAGGGCTGCAAAACAGCCTTTATGTAACAGCAATGATTTTTCCCTTCCAAGCTGAGAGCTGTGCCAGCTCTCTGCTGCTCAATAATTACCCTACAGCTCGTTAGAGGAGTGTTTCACTCAAGGCATTGCTGGAGCAGCAGGTCAGCTCCAGGGGCTGGAACTGCCGGGAGAACCCACCAGCCTGTCAGGGCTGCCAGTGTCTGATCATGGAAAGGGCAAACCAAGGGAATATCAGACAGGAGCTGCTCCAGGGGAGGTTTAGGTTGGGTATCAGGAAGCACTTCCTCATGGAAAGGGTGATCAGACATTGGGAGGGACTGCCCAGGGAGGTGGTAGAAGCATCCAAGGAAAGGCTGGATGTGGCACTTGGTGCCCTGGTCTGGAGATGTGGTGGTGTCGGGTCATAGGCTGGACTTAAAGGTCTTTCCCAGCCTTGGGGATTCTGTGATTAATGGGTGCTTAAATATAGGCACTGCACAAGCCTCTGATGAACCCAGTGACACCACAGCCTCACCTCTGAGTCCTTGTCCAGCTGATTCCTGACCACGATCATGTTGTACAGCACCCGGTCGTCGTCCGCCTCCGTGTGGGTCACGTCGTGGGGGGTGCTCCACAGGTTCTGCTCCTCATCCCGTGCCAGGGTGGCTCCAAAGGAGGCGTAGGGGTTGTTGTTGCTGCAGAGAGGGAGAGAGCAGAGGCAGCGTGAGCTCCCACAGCATCAGGATGCCTCCTGTTGCCTCCCCTGGGCAAAGGGGCCATCCCCGCTCGTGTCCTTAGGAGAGAGGAGGAAGAGGAGGAGGGGAGGGTGGGAAGGCAGCCCGAATGTTTCACCTCAGGAAACGTGCTGTCCACACAAGCCATACTCAAAGCAGGCAGTGCTGCCACAAAAAGCAGCAGATCCTCAGGCTGCTAGTGCCAGCAGGTATTATTTGAGCAGCCAGGATGGGGCACTGCAAGCACCCAGCTACAAGGGTGACAGGTGGCATCTCCCCGTCACCCCTCTGCCCTGCTCCCCATCAGGCCTCCACACCCCAAGCCCTGCACAAGCTCCCCCCCCTCCCCAGTCTCTATGAGCTTATCATGGGAACAGTTCTAATTAACTAATGCTCAGAAATCCCGGTGGCTCTAGAGGGTATTTTCTCCCTGCCCAGCTAACCCTGCAGCTGTGCCAAGTTCCCAGTGGCACGGTCTGTCCTCAGAGACCTTGTGCCCAGAGGGGTCTGCCTTGAGCAGCAGGCACAGGGACAGCTGTGTGTGCAAAGCCTCTAACTTGCCAAAGAAGTACCTTCTACCCACCTCCTCCCCAAAAGCAGTACTGCTGGGCAGAGTTTTATCTCAGACAAAACACACACCACCTCTGCTGAGGGAACTGGGACTGGTTAGCCCAGGGAAGAGATGGCTCAGAGGGATCTTATCCGTGTGTGTAAGTTGGGAGGGAGCAAAGGAGATGGACTTCTCAGTGGTGGCTCATCACAGGACACACTGAAATGCAGGAAAGTCAGTTTGATCCTAAGAAAAAAATGTTCTCCTGCAAGAGTGGGTGAGCACTGGCACACTTTGGAGACACTCAAAACCCAACTGGACATGGTCCTGGGCAACCTGCTCCAGCTGACCCCACTCAAGCAGGGATTGGACTGGATGCCCTCCAGAGGTCCCACCATCCACAACCATGTTTCTGCCTGACATCACAGCTGTTTTCTCCCAAACCCTACAAAATCAAGCTGTCGATCCCCACAGGGGAAAAGCCACCCTGGCAGCTCCTGCCTGAGAGGTACAGCAGGCACTAAGCTGGACAAGGACCTGGGCCAAGGTGCAGAAAGGACATGGAGCCACATCTTTATTTGGGGGGATGGAAATGTCCTCAGCCTGCTTGTGAACTCTGGGCTTTATTCACGAAGCAAAGTAGAGCATCATCTTCTGGGAAGGTTGTCCCCACTGAGGCAAGGAGCTTTTCTCTGCACTGGTTCTATGGTTTATGGCTTTATGTTGCTACTCAGGATGTGTGCTTGTTTTTAGAGGGTTATTTAATCCTGCTGGGAAAACTTGGAGCAGAGGATTTCCATAAGGTTTCTAATTGAGATGTCCAGGCACTCGAGCAGAACACCACATATGGAGAAATATTTCTGGCCTTACCCAATAGTCTCATCAGCCACTCTGTGGCAATCTCTGCTCACTTCTTGCTAGAACAATTCCCTGTTTATTCCTTTTGCTTCCCAAACCCCATTCCTTTTGCAAGGAACCCATCCAGTGGAACCTCAGATGGTGCTGCAGGCATTTTAACCACGATGCCAAGCCACAAAAAAAAAGATGCTAAGAGGAGCTCCAGCACATAGATAAAACAGAAAACAAATCCTTCCCATCAGCATTCCGGCAGGAAGGTTAATGAGATTGTCAACAAACCCCAAACCTGAGCAACAGGTAATAAGGGAGAAGATAGTATCTTAGAATCTCTCATTAAAACCAAGCAAACCAACATAACTTGGAGGGTGTGGAGGACATAACTCAGCTGTTCCTACACATGAGCCAGCACCAGCTCATTTAAACCCTTTCACAAATGCAGAGCAGGCAGGATCCCAGCCTGGAAGGGATCACTCAGGAGCCACCCGTGCTATCAGCACGAGTTCAGTCCCATCCTAGGCTTGACAGGCTTCTTCCCACTCAGTGACTTACCAGTACATCTGACTTACTTTGAAAGCCAGGATGTGGCAATGACACTAACACACCTGAGCTTTTACGAGCTGCTCCCTCGCAGCTTGCAAGGCACTTCCCAGCTCCTCTGCATTTCCAAACCCTGGCACAGGGCACCCAGCAGCCTGCAAGGGATGCAGGCAGTGCCCAGGAGTCAGTAAATCCACACATGCTCAGAGAGCTGTGGTGAAAGCAGGCACCCCTGGAGTACACTGGGCTTCCAAGCAACATTTACAAGGAAGAATTGGGAAGAAAAAGAAAATGGAGCACAAGCTCTTGCAAGGTCCCCACTCTGAAATACAGCCCTGAAGCCTCATGAAGAGGGACAAGCCAGAGATTAGGCTGTTAGATTAATTATGCTGGCATGTTTGTGCAAGAGCAGGTGCCTTTTGAATGCCCAGCATTTACACAGGCTTCCCTGCTTACAGCCAGCATTAATTGGATCAATGGCAGGAGGCATGTTACTAAGAAAGGTGCCTGGTGAGGGACACACACCCAGGCCAGCAAGGCAGCAGGAAGGAGCCTCTCCACACATATGCTCTGCTCTCATTAGGTTAATGCCAATTTCCTGGGCTAGAGGCCCCATGCTCAGGATTAGGTTATTCTTTAGGTAACTGCTTCAACAGCATGAAATCAGGGCATTTGAAGCCCTGACAGCAGCTCTGCTGATATCTATGTAGGCCACCCTGGGTGCATCCCACCTTCCTGCTTGAAATGTTTGTCCCAGTGATGACACAGAGAAGGCAGAGTCCTGCCCCATCCCCAGGGCTCAGCTCCCCACTGTGGGCTTCAGTGGCAGGGAAGGAAGGAGGGAGGGAAGGAGGGAGGGAGGGAAGGAAGGAGGGAGGGAAGGAAGGAGGGAGGGAGGGAAGGAAGGAGGGAAGGAGGGAAGGAGGGAAGGAGGGAAGGAGGGAAGGAGGGAAGGAGGGAAGGAGGGAAGGAGGGAAGGAAGGAAGGAAGGAAGGAAGGAAGGAAGGAAGGAAGGAAGGAAGGAAGGAAGGAAGGAAGGAAGGAAGGAAGGAAGGAAGGAAGGAAGGAAGGAAGGAAGGAAGGAAGGAAGGAAGGAAGGAAGGAAGGAAGGAAGGAAAGGAAGGAAAGGGATATTTTGCATCATGCTAAAAACCTCCCTACGTCCTTGTGCAGCTCACTGCTCTTCTCCACGACCCAGGGCTTGATCTTTTCACACAACAACCCCCCCTCACACACACAGCACCCACACACACCCTCTCACACGGCTCCCTGCACAAGACAGAGGTGAGCAACAGTGGCAGGCAGAATTCTGCATCAGAACAGGCTGCCCAGGTGGGATCCCCAGGCGCTCAGAAGCCGCGCAGATGTGGCACTTGGGGACGTGGTTTAGTCGGCACGGAGGTGCTGGGGGGTGACGGTGGGACTCGATGATCTCAGGGGGTCTTTGCCAAACGATTCCATGACTCCGTGACCTCCCCTCTTTTATTTGTGCCTCCCCTTTTCTGCAACCCCACGGTGGGAAGCCCCCAACCCGGCCGGTTCCCGTGGCGAGGGGGGCTCGGGAAACACCCAAGAGCCGCCGCTCTCGGTTCGCTTGCTAAAAACTG